TCTCATGGTATGTGTTGGTGATGTTGAAGGCAGCATTAAAATGGAACGGTGAGATACTTTGTGTCAGTATCAACATTTTAGACAATACTGGACTTCTATTTCACATGTTTGAGAGAAATGTTGTACTTTTGTAGTCCACAAAAAAATATTTAGCATCTGTAGTTACATTGCAGATTGAAAGGTTTATTTTAAAAGAAGTGATAATATGATGAGATTCAATACATTTGTATATATAAAACACTGTAATACTACTACTACTACTACTACTACTAATAATAATAATAATAATAATAACTAAAATGTTTAGCTACTTCCACCAGAGTAAGCATCCTACTTACTGGTTGCAGGTGTCGGCATGTGTCCTTTGGTCTGGTGCAGGGCATGAAGACCAGGACTGGAGAAGTGGTGTTTCTGGAGGATGTGCTGGATGAGGCTCGGGCTAGGATGCTCCACAACATGAGCCAGTCAAGCAGTAAAGCATGGCACACATTAGGCAGTTATTTAGCAACAGAGAGCACATAGTACTCATGTGTAATTAAATCTGTAATTGGTGCCTTAGTGGGCACAGCCTTGCTGTGACACATTAAGGTTGTTACACTTTAACATACAATAAATCATTACAGTTGTTTCCCAGTCAAAGTTGCTGTGAATTCTGCTGCTGTACAGCTGACAGTTGGATTGTGATTGCACTCACAGCAGGAAGATGGCGCTGCTCCTCCAGAGTAGCTTCTTTTATAGTAGTGAGCGATGAGAGGAGACATTTCTTCATGAAATTGCGGTGGTTACTGTGGCAACAGGAACAAATGTGGGAACACAAAAGCTGATGTGTTGCCAACGTTACCCATCTCATTTCCCTAAAATGGAAAGTAGGCCTGATGAGACTAGGAAAAGCGACTGTTATAGGAAAAATGAAGCTGTATTCGGGGACACGACACAAGTATGCACTCTTTCCACAGCAACAAAAGATATGGACAATCCAGAGGACACAGCAGAGAAAGTAGGAATCAGCGCACTAAATATCCAGGTGAGTTATTACTACTAAATAACAGTTTTCAACTAAACACTAGTCAAATAGCAGCTGTTGCATTTCCTGGTCTGTCTTCACGGTGTGGGGATTAGTACCGACTGCTTTTCTAATGACTGTGTTTCAGGACTTCAAAGGTCCCCTGCAGTCAGACTATAAGTTCGACTGGGACCGGATGCTGCAGGCTCAGGGCGACACCGGCGTCTTTCTGCAGTACACACATGCTCGACTCTGCAGGTCTGCTTCTATCAGTTGCTGGAAAAAAATGAAACCATCTCACATATTCTAGTCGTGCTATGGTCACTTTGATGTGATTGTGAAAATCTTTGTAGTGCAATTCTGTTTCAGTAGAGCTGTGACAAACATGTTTTTCTGAACTTTCTAAACAAAAATCATTGACAAAATGACTGAAGATTCAATGTGCTTAGATGCCTTGTTCTCTCTGAGTTCCAAAACCAAAGATTTGCAGCCCATTTTGCAAGGATGTCAGCACTGAAAAAGTGATTATGCTTTAAATAATGTATTGTTGTGCTCTCCTTAAACAAGGAAAAGAAAAGCCAACACTACTTATGAGTCAGTTATTTCACATGTTAATTATAATGCTGTTACTGTAGTTTAATGCAGAGGAATGAAGGTGTACAGGCAGCTACATTCGACCCATCACTTCTACGTGAGCACACGAGTGTCACCATTCTGCAGCACCTCCTTCGGTAAGCAAGCACTTTCTAAAACCCATAAACCTTTCATTTCTCTACATGTTAGCAAGTATGAGACCAGCTGTCACAGTCTGCCGCTGTCAATATTTGCTCCACTTTGACCAAATCTTCCCTGTGTGTTTGTAGATATGACGAGGTGTTGTATCAGTCAGCCCAGGATCTGCAACCCAAACACCTCGTCACCTTTCTACTGAAACTGTGGTAAGGAACACAATGTTAGTTTGAAGGGCCTGGTTTTTTGCCGCTCAATATTTACTTTGTTTTTACAGCCCAGTAAGCATAAAGTTACTGTTTATAGATGTATTTAATGATCTGTGTACCTGGCTGTATTTCTGTTGTTTCCAACGCTTTGCAGCCACCTGATAGCTGCAGCACACAGAGAGCTACCAGTTAAAGGAAGTCCACAGGATGTTGCACAGGTAGAAGGAAAAACACATGCAAACATCTACAGTTTTATTTTTAAATGTGCCTACATGTCACATTAGGTAGTCAGTGAATTTACAAATACAATATAAATAGGATTTTCTTTTTAAAATATGTTTGTGCTCACAGTCAGACTCTGCAATCACCTTAAAATGTTTGCGTCATGACATACATGCAGATGATTTAGCGGCACGTATACTCTGAGTTATTTCTCATTCACAATGTCAGAAGCTTCAAGAGTCATTGTCTATGTCTTCTTCAGACTCAACAACTCACTGCAGTTTCTACAGATTCCACAGGCCGAGATGCACATAACCCCATTCTTCTTGCAGCTGCACCGCCGGTTGCTGCAATCTCTATGACAATTACAGCTCGTCAACTTCAGCAGCTCCTCAGGAGCCATGGGGTCTAGTGTTGGAACTGGCTCATACCCATGCACACCTAATGTCCATCCATAGTCACTGGGGTTCAGAGACATGCTCTGTAGAAGATCCAGTCCTGGTCTGCAGGTAGGCACAGAGTGAATGCTGTGCAGCTGCACCCTCTGATAGAGGTAGAGTCTCTGGTTTGATCACTCCTGCCGTCGCCTTCCTTGAGAACATGTTGCACCAAATTTGAAACAGAAATACAATTATTGTTATTATTATTATTTAAAATATTTTTACTATGATGACAATAATGATGATGGTGATGATGATGATGATGACTATTATTATTTGTCAAAGTAATAGCAGTATTATCATTATTACCTGTCAAGCAGAGTTGTTTTCTCATGGCCAGCAATTGCAGAAACCGTGAGAGATTCTTCTTAACCACATCAAACGGCTCTTATGACATCTGAAAGATCCAAGAATCTCTCTCTGAAAGACAGAAGGGCTACCTGCTCTTCTGTCACGCCTTCACAGGGTGTGATACGGTTTCTGCAATTGCTGGCCATGGGAACACAACTCTATTTGACAGGTAATAATTATAACACTGCAATTACTTCCACTAATTCTAATTATAATTATAATTATAATAATAGTAATAATAATAATGATATAATCATCATCATCATTGTCGTCATAGTAAAAAATATTTAAAACAATGAATGTATTTCTGTTTCACATTATACTTGACACAAACCGAGCGCATTTTTTTAGGTTTTGTCCAGGGGACGTGGATGAGTGCATGGACATCTTCCTTGACACAGAAGCTACCAAGGAGGCAGTGATTCAGGCTGGTACTGGGATTTTCCAGTACATTTACCATGGATCAGATACTCTACCTCTATCAGAGGGTGCAGCTGCACAGCATTCACTCTGTGCCTACCTGTAGACCAGGACTGGATCCTTCTACAGAGCATGTCTCTGAACCCCAGTGACTATGGATGGACATTAGGTGTGCATGGGTATGAGCCAGTTCCAACACTAGACCCCATGGCTCCTGAGGAGCTACTGAAGTTGACGAGCTGTAATTGTCACAGAGATTGCAGCAACCGGCGGTGCAGCAGCAACAAGAATGGGGTCATGTGCATCTCCACCTGTGGAGTCTGTAAAGGCATTACATGTAGAAACTGCAGTCATGATGTTGTTGAGTCTGAAGAAGACATAGACGATGACTCTTGAAGCTTCCGAGAAATAATGAGAAATAACTCTGAGTGTTATATAAGTATGTGAAATAAAAGCTACTGTGAATGTAAATGTAAAAGTGAGTGTGGCCTTTTTCAACAATGGAGCGTCTATAGTGAAATATAAATGCTAACAATCAACTCAGAATCAAAAATTTTTTTTGATTTGACCCGTCATAAGTTACTGAAGGCCCGATTTAAAAAAAAAAAAAAAATAATGCACAACAATGAATGCTGTGATGCTGAAGAGCTGAGCTCCAATAGGGGGCTGAACTCCTGAATGTGGTATACACTAAAAAATTTTTGTTGAAATGTAGCTCAAATGTGTTTATTGCTGACCCTGTCCACAGCAGTTCCCTTAGCTTCCATGCAGGTTCCTGGACCACAATACACTATCTATAAAGTACCTGGTAAAACCCTACTTCAAAGTAACTGAACTATCCCTTTTTACAGTGATAACCAGCAGCTTTAAAGCAAGAAAACGATCACATTTAATGATGCAGCGGTTCTTGTAATTGTGTTCAAACCAGCAAGTTGGAACAAAGTCAACTAACAAGTTGCATCAAATAGATTCAGAATGGTGCTTTTTTTACCGACTTTCAGCCAAGCGCACATAGCACATCTTCACCTTGACAACAGCCAATATTTTCATTTTGCAGTTCCATTAAGTTATGGCTAGGTTTGTGCTACATTACTAATGTATCTAACAATGCTATTTAAAGTTTTGAAAATTTGAATATGGTACTTTTTCAGAATTTGACTTAAGCAAAGGATAGTGATGTGACCTTTAATTGATTACTGCTGACCACTAAGAAGAAAATGTCAGCACAAATACAAACCTCTACACTTCAAAATGACATAAAACTACTGATTTTATGTATTCACAAACTTTTTTTTTTTGCAATAAAACCAACTGTAAAGTGTTCTCATTTACTAAATGTCAACAGGCAAGGCTACGACTATTCAGCGGAGCGTGCTCAGTCCTAGCCAATGGGATGAGGATCCTGGGCATCACACCAGTTGATAAAATGTGAAACTTCAACTGTGTTAATGTGTCATCAGTGTTATTTCACTACTGTAGGCACCCTACTGTAGTTCATTTGTACTGTCAGCCATACATTTTCAAAATAAAATCATCTTCTTTAATATAATTCTGTTGATATCAGTCTAAAGTTCATTGGTAGGATTGGGTATGTTTTGAAATACAACTCAGAAATACAAACAGCCATTTTTTTTTTCCATAGTTCTTCTCAGTTTTAATAAAAGCTTCAAAATAGTGTTTAAAACACAATGCAACATAGAACTGATACAAAATATACAAGACACTGGAGAGATAATAACATATACTCCCACATGCAGTCATTCTTTCAAGTGTCTCCTCCTGTGAATTGGGCACATTCAGAAATAGCACTATGTGATTTGGACCAAAGACACATTTCACCGTTTAAAAAAAAAAAAAAGTTACTGATTGAAAAAAAACCAAACAAAATAAAACTCCATGATAAGGAGTTGTGGTAATTACACGCCCCCTATGACGGATATACAGAGGCTTTGAAGTAAGAGTAACAAAGTCCTGTTACTTATTGCTCCAGCATGGCTGAAGTTCAATTCCAGGCCTCCTTCAATTGCTTCAGCTTATTTACAGACTTCACAAGCAACTAGCTAAAACGGCCAGTTGGAAAGAAATGGTTTGTCATGTCAACTGAATGATTGTTTGAATCTGGCTTTAAAACCATCAAGACTTCTTCAAATTATCTGGAAGTTCATAGTACTGTCACCAGTCTTACGTGGGTGGAAGCAGGAGCGAGCCCACATTAAAGGTGGAGTCTGCGATTCTGGAAAAAGAATCTTGATATTTAGATTACATATTTAAATAGCATGTGCCAGATGCACCATCTCTCCTCCCCTTCCCTTTTCAGGGGCTGAGTATGAAGGTGTACAAGTGGGAAGATGCACAGGAAATGCTAGAAATATGTAGTGTGGATCAGTCAAAGCCACTTTTATTTGTTTCCCACCTATAGAGCCAGGTCTGTGTAGGAATCAAGTTCATTTCAATGCATACACTTAAGGATTGGATAAGATATTCACTGAAGTGTATTTGACTAGAATCGTGTACTCCACCTTTAAAGTGGAACTGAAGCTGTCATTCATTCATGAAGGGAACACAGAGCCCAACAAACTTAGTGTTCTTCTGTAAAACGGCAGGAGTTGCTCCCGAATACTTCCACAGTGCATGAACTCGTTTACTTGTCAGAAAACACGACCCCAAATCACACCTGGCCCTCCAGCGCAAAGACTCCACTGCTGCAAGTCAGAGACTCACACAGTGATCAGTTTCTGTTTGGATTCCCTGTCTGTGTCTTCTCGGACCACTTTAGATGTGTCTTGCTTTGGAAGTCCATACAGGTAGATTGAAATGCACACGAGGAGGGCTCCAGAGGAAAATGTGATCGCTGCACAAGAGGGCAAAAAGCAAAGTGAGGCATTTCCAATACTTTAAAAAAAGAAATGAGTTGAATGGTGATATGTTTGATAAAACTTTATAAATCAATATTTTTTTTTTTTTTAGGAAGCAAAGATGTTTTATTCCCATACATTCTGCATATGGTTTAGTGTCAGCTATTTTAATCACCATGTACCATTCATGAATGGGAGAACAATTTCACACATACTGAAATGTCCTGGTAATTCCCAAGGGAGTGGAGGCCTTAGAAAACCAATCTAACAGTTTTCCATATTAAGATGAATTTGCCGTGCAGCCCAGTGCTTTTGCAGTAAAATTAGTGTGTTGAAAATAATCAACTAAATGTTTGCCTTAGTAACAAACTGCACAGTCCTCTTCAGAAACATTTAGAATTTAAAGCAGGTCTTTTCCAGATAATTACAGAAAACTGTTGCCCATGAAGTGCTACTGAATGTTCCTCACATTGGAGCTAGCAAGATGTCATTTTAACACACAAGTGGTCTGGCCAATGCAAAAAATCTAAGTCTAGTTCTTCTTCACTGCTTTCTTAGCATAATGTATATTTGCATGTTTACATGTTTGAAGCTTAGTGGTACGAGCACATGTGTATTTTTGATATACTACTGTGCCACGGTATACTTTCACCTAACCAATGATTTCATTGAACGAAAATGTCATCACTAAAAAGGCACTGCCATAGTACCCGGTGGAGCCTGTTACACGAGTTGCAGTGAAAGGTGTGTTAGAGCAGGCTGAATAGGATAGAGTTGCTACAACAGAATTTGAGGGCATCTGTTGTCCAGCTGGACTAACGTTTACAGTGAACAAGTCGCTCCATAATGGAGATCAGCTTTGAGGAGTATTCTTATAACAGACCACAGTACAGATTGATAACGTTACATTTTATTTACTGTGGAAGACTGCAGCTTGCTTGCTGTGTTTAATACTTTGGATTTTTTCAGACCAATTGGTTTAAATTAATATATTTTTTGTTGTGTAATGTCATTTAGTAACCTGATGTTTGCTTTATCTGTTCTACAAATTCTTAATTTAACCAAGATGATTTTGCTACAAACAAGGTGTTTTAAAATGTTTTATCAGCATAAAAAACATCTACGGTACCTAATTCATTCAATTATTGATTGTTCAAGTGGACAACCAACAGTTAAATGTTTCACAGTCCTGCTGAGAAACTACTAGAAATTCTTTCTCAGTTATCATACAATCAATATTGTTCTGAGAAACCAACTTACTTATCTTTAGTCCAAACAAGATGACAGACGCCACTGTTGAAAGAACAATAGCAGCTGCAGCAGAGAAGCCCTTCATAATATTGTCTGTATATTTCACCACCACCGATGTGTACAGACCGCCTACACTGGCCAGGACTGGAAGTACAAAGAGAGCACTGTCAACCAAAATGTGAAACAAAATGAAAAGCATTCTCAGGTTTTGTCATACTTACATACAACAAAGCACACCCAGGGTGTGTAACCGAAAAAGAAGCCTTTCTCCAGGACGTTGTCTCCATCGTTCAAGTAAACACCAATCAGGGTGACCACAATGCCGGACAGGTACATCTGAATGTTTCTTACCCACAGAGACGTGTCTGAGCTCTTCAACACCTTCTCAAAGTACACACCTCAAAAAGAAAGTAGAAACAAAACTGTTAAATGCAAAGAAAATGTTCACAAAATATTGTATAATGCATATGTTAAGTACAACAGCAATGTAAGCAAAGTAAGTGTACTTTATGCAATTTATGTTGAGTAGAGATATCATTAATGGTACGTTTCATGTTTGATTGCACTTAAAAGTGTTGCTCTAGTAGAGGGTTTGTGTAGTTAGTGAAAGAATTTATAGTCTTTAATGCAGAATCCAGTGCCAATTTTACCTGCAAATCCAGAGCAAAGGACAGCAATAGCGATGGCAACAAACCCAAGAAAGGGATTCTGCGCAATCTGAGGGGGAAAAAAAAAAACTGAGTAGGTGACTGGAGAGATGGTAAATGCAGCCAAAGGAGATACAGGTAATAAAATGCTTCTTATGGTGGGTGTGACAGGACATGAATAATAGTGTAATGAGTAACCAGGATAGGTTTGACATTAAATTCCAACTCCTATCACGTTTACCTGAACTTTAGTGGCTTCAACGGGCTTCCACTGGACGAGTGTGACGCCTCCACAGAGCATGAAGACAGAGAACCACTGCAGCCAGCTGAGAGAGCGGTTCAGCATGAGGACTGTACACAAGGCCGTGCATGGGATCTTCAGCTGATAGGTCACCTAGATAAGAAAACAGAAAAACACCTTTTAGGTTATTTTTAGCAACATGATGTCTTCTGCTGATAAAGCTCACCACATACTTTAGATACTACAGGAGAAGCTGAGCGTAACCACCGTTCCTTACTATTAACCCCTGGGCAAAAGTCTTGTCTGTGCTGTTAGCATTTGACCCTAAAACCAAAGTTCCCTACAAGCTTCAGCTTTTGTGCCTCAGCATTACAATTGTGTCAGTTTTTAGATTCCATTTTTTAAATTTTAACACATTCTTAAAAATGCATCAAAACTCAAAAGTTGAAACCCTTCAGGACCATAATTCAATACTCTGTTTAAGGTGCTTTGGTAGTAATTACAGCTTATTTACAGCTTCTTGGATAAGTCTCTATAGGGTCTACACACCTGGATCTGGGCAGTTTATCACACTCTTCCTGACAGATTCTCTAAGGCTCAGTCACATTGGATGGGAAGTGTCTGAACTGCCACTTTAACTTTAACTGCCACAGATGTTACTGATGCGCATCTCTTTGTGTCTTGCTTTGGTTGGCCCTACAAGACCAGCCAGACTTGTCCTGAAGCCACTCCATCACTGTCTTAGCTGTTTGCTTTGAGTCATTGTCATGTCATGCTGAAAGTTGAGCTCTCGCCCTTGTTTCAGTTTGCACGCACTCCACTGCAGGTTTTCTTCAAGAAGCTCTCTGTGTTTGGCTGCATTCATCCTGCCCTCAGTGACCAGTGTCCCTGTCCTTGCTGCTGAGAAACAGCTTCATTGGGAATGTAATAAACAAATGATGAACTGGTGTTCACCACGCATGGTGCTTAGAGTTCAGCACAAAGACTTCAATTTCGGTCTCAAAAACCCAGAGAATCTTTTTCCTCGTGCTCAGTCTTTGTGTCACACTACAAACTTCAAGCATCTTTTATTTAAGGCTGCTTCAACAATTAAGGCCTGATTGTCCTTCTAGAGGAACAACTTGTTGTCTGGTCAGCACCCTGACCAAAGACCTTCTTGCCCTGTTATTCAGTTTGGAGGATAACCAACTAAAGGAAGAGCCCTGGTGTTCTTGAACTTTCTCCATTTCAAAATTATTTTTCACTTCACAAATGCTCCTGGGAATGCTTCAGTCACGTTTTAGATACATCTCAAGACCATTTAAAGGTGGAGTCCCAGCAAAGGTTCGGAGATTATGATTTATAATAACTTCAACAACATTTTCAAAAACAGCTTCTTGCCTTTTCATTATGGAATGCTGAGTGTAAAATTAATCCTACAACACAATAAAATAAAAGAGGTCTAAATTTGTTCTGATGCAAATGGATGTGTGCTGAAATTGGAACATGGGAGTCATTTATCAAGTAAAAAAGCCAATCACTGACTGGTTCCAGTATCTCAAGTGTCAAAATTGACTTGGTTTTAGAATGTTTGTTTGACAAATCATGAAACTGTTCAAGACAGACAAAGGTCATATTGGAAAATATTCACTGTTTAATAAACTAAATAAATAATCAATGCACTTCAATATTGCCAATGTTACAATAGTGGAAAAACAATAAAACATTTCAGTGATCCACTGATAAGAAACTTTAAAGGCTAAACCAGTAATTTAGAAAATAATCTACTGGGGTTTGACAATGAAAAACAATGCTAAGTTGCAGGTCTGGTTTTCATTTGTGTGACTGATGACAATTATAGTAGCTTATGATGATCTGTATTGCACACTTGCATGCTTAACTTTTGTGGTAAGTATGCTCGTGTGCCTGCAATTGTAAAAAATTAAAAAATAAACAAGAAACAAAACAGGATTCATGTCATACCTGATAAACTGCTGCATCGAGGTTGCTCAGGGCGATGAAGGCCATGTTATTCTGAATGGCATACACTACTGAGGGTACGCTTAGCTTCAGCAGTTCTCTGGGGCTGAAGAAGACGTGTTCCTCTATGGCGTTCTTGAGTCTGCTGAGGCTTCCCGTTTCTCTGTGCAGGTAAAAACAGAGTGATGAGGAAGTAATGTTAACACCAAATAGCCATAAATTCCACTCATGGAAGTCACCGAATTACCACTCTTGAATGTTACGCAAGTAGTACAACACAGATGACTGCAGCAGTGTCTGACATTTTTTGCAATGTAAGAAGCATAAGGCACATCTGACCCCAATGAGGCCGCTTTCAGTTTTTATGCTGGTAGCTTTTGACGAGAATGTTCACGTTTTCCTCTTGCCTCTGACATCTTTTGCATATTTTGCCCTTTAATAATTCCACTCTAACATTTTTTGACTATAATTTTTGTGCTGTTTGTATTTTTCACTTTTACAGAGAACTTTCCTTGATCACTTTCCTACTCCCTCTCCCTCTTGTTGGTTATATGCCTACGTCTGTCCAATGTGTTGGTCTGGATTTCACTGTAACAAAGTAATCTGCAAATTAGTTTCTCCATTTATAGTTTGGCCTAAAAAACTCAGAAAATTGTGGGGGAAAAAAAAAAAGAAAATCGCATTTCCCAAAAGCCCAAGGTGATGTCTTCATGTTCTTTTTTGGTCCAACTCACACTCCAAACCTCAAAGACAATGAGGCAGCTATCACTCAAAGCTACAAAGCAGCAAATCCTCCTCATTTAGAATAAGAAACTTTAGTCTGTTTTTGTCGAAATAATTCATCCGCTATAAAAAAAAATGTGCTCAATCACTAACTATTTCAGCTATATGTAAGTGTAAAGACCACTCTGGCATCCAGCAGCCCTTAAATATTCTCCTTAACCTGAGTAATCAACACTGTAGAGCTGAAAAAATAGGTCAACTGACAATTGAAAATTTATCAGCCACTACTCTGATAATTACCTGTGTAAAGACACCATTATGTTTATCTGGGACTTGTTGAAAGGTAGTGTAATAGACACAATTACAGAAGAGTTGTAAAGTCTGCAGATGTACTCATTCATGTCAGGTACACAGCGTCTACATTAACATCAGCCATCAGGGTCATATCAGACTAAGTGAATGCCAGTATACACCGAACTGTGCAAGGAGGAAAATGACTGTTCATACATTCAACTTTATATATTTCTAGGAGGAACACTGTATTGTTTAACAGCCAAACCACTGTGACACCACTGTAACACGGTGAGGATCTGACTGGTGCTTCAGTAAAGTGACTTTTTAGGACAGACAAGATAAGCAATTTGAAGATGTCACCTTGGGTTTTAGCCAGCTGTAATAAACACTAGTTTCTGCCACTGTATACATGAATGATTACTGGATTGGCCAAGGAAATGACTGGCAATAATGAAGAAGTCATAAATTGCTGCTGTAATCCACGTGTTTGCCACATCATCCTTCCCTGTGCTTTATGATATCCTATTACCTCTAGATGGATTATTATCCGACAGTTCAGCTAACATGTGTATAAATTCGGTCACTTTTATAAACGTTTTACTAATGCCCAGTGAAATGCCCAGTGGCATAAGAGAGCATGGACGGTGACAGACACTTACTTTGCCAGCATCCCCAAACTTAGTATTAATTTAATGACCTCCGTGATGCACACTGCAGTAGTGGAGAAGTACAAGTCTCCTGATGAGATGGTCCTCGTGTACCGTAGTGCCACTGTGTACGTCGCTGCCACCAGTGTCATCACCGTCAGGCAGTACAGCTTGAAGACCACACTCACGTTTTCTGAGGAGACAAACGGTGAACATGTAGCTTCAACTTCATGTTCAGCTGGAAGTAGGGTACAACACTACACTAACAACAACAACACGGAACTTTATTGTTTATTTTACAGTATTCTTTCGAGTGTTTGAAGGAGTAATATTACTTCGCTAGCTAAACTTAATAGGAGCACACGCCCATTATATAGTAGTTGTTTCATGTAGCTGAGTTTGATGTTCTCCTTCCTCCACTTAACGTGAGTGTCGCTCCGATAGCCAACATTAGCTTATCATGCTAGCTTGTGTTCAGAAGTGAAACTCACCGACGGCCATCGCTGCTCTGCTTCGTATCCGTCTGTTTGTCAGAAAACTCACTTATTCTCTTCACTTCACATGCCATTAATACCAAAACATGAATCCAGGGTGCATCGAGGAATGCTGCTCTCCCGGCAGCACATCAAGTAATCAGCCTGATTTGGAGTTTCCTCCCTGGTGTCATACTTCCTGCATATCCCAGAATGCACAGCAAATTTCCATGATGACGAGTTTCTGAAAAGGGTGCGTTTGTTTTCGACGTCCTGAAATCCCGATGCACCGATTTTCGTCTTGTGTGAGAGATTGAATCCGATCTTGAAACTTGGCTTTAACTTGAACAGGTGAAGCTCAAAAAAATAGAATATAAACAGTTGTTCCTTTACAATTTATTTCGAAAAGGTAGATTTTTATATTGTATATATTCATTACACGTAAAGTGAAATATTTCAGGCCTTTGTTTTCATTTTGATGATTATCTCTTACAGCTCATGAAATCAGAAATACAGTAACTCAGATTTTTAAAAATATTTCCTAAGATCAATTTGAAAAGAAAATACAATATAGAATATGCTAATGAAATAAATACTTTTTTATTTTAAAAAGGAGATTTTTTTTTCCCTTTTAAATCTGCTTTTACTTACTAAAAACTTTTTGCCAGTTGTTTTCTATCACACTGCAATTTCAGCTTTTGCTTCTTTGGAATGTTGAACTGGATTTAAAATACTTTATAATAGCTTTTCTCCTCATTATATGAAACAAACTGAATATTCAACACAATAAGAAATTCAAGGAGTGAACATTTTAAGTAAAATAATGTGTATGTGTCCAGCTTTGTGTCTACTCTGTTTATTATAATGGATGTCCTCTGCCACATATTTACATGCCAATTTAGTATTCAAACTTTTTCATGACAAAGCCTAGCAAGCAAGTACTAAATTGCAAAAACATCTGCACAATTTCCTAATCAGCCTGAGTTTATTTAGTGGGTCATTCCATGCCAGGCAAAAACTTGCACCTAAATCATGGAACTATGAGTTATGAATGTTTGAAAATAAATACCAGACAGTAGAGTTTGTTGATTTCAAGAGTTTCCTGATAATGTTTAAATCACTTCAAGTACTCAGATTGTGTCAACACAGTGCAGCTTCAGAGGCTGTTGTTACTGCATCAGGACTAGTTAACCAGGCTTTAGTTCAAGTATAAGGTTTGTAGAATCTTTTAAATTAGTTCTCTGTTTTAATTTACATTTTCCCTAAGTTCATTTTAACTCATTTGTTTGTGTTTTTTTCTTGATAAGGTATCAGTTTGTTTATTTCAATCCTATTTATTTTCTTTTCCATCTCAACACTGTATATTGCATAACCAAATATTTTTAGATTATTCTTTTGATTGCTAGCATTGCTTTAAGGCAAGGTGTATTTTCTAAAGAAAATATCAGCTCATTGGATTCCAATTAAATCCAAGTTTATTTTCAAGTTTAATTGCCAAAACCATTTAAAAGTTCTTTTAGTCCACATCGGCAGCAGCTCCTGACCAACCCAAGCTCTCTAAGAAGACGAAGAAAAACTCCCCAAAATCCTGTGGCCTGGCAGGAAAATGGGAAGAAACCTCGGGAAAGGCAATTCACAGAGAGATCCCTTACCCACGTATGGCTGGTGTAACTACAGGGTCTGCACGTGGAGAAATACTGTTTTTTTTAGTGGTAATAACATATAATAAGTCCAATTGGTGTCCAGTTAGACTCCTATGGCTACAGCTGTTGACATCCTGTCAAAGAAAGAGAGCAACGTTAGACTTTATGAATTTGTTTGTGGATTTGTTTTGTTGACTTTGTGAGGACACAGGTCTAACTAAAATCCACTTTTTAGGACATTTAAGCATTTTTTTCCCCCAGGAATGATTGTGTTGATTTCTTTTAAACTTTTTAAAAGTCTTCATATCCATTGCAACTATTAAAAATAAAATGTTAAAGTGCTCCTTTATTATTTAAAAATGTTATGAAAATGACCAATTTTCCGTAGTTTTCAGTGGCTTTAATATCTCATTTAGTGGCTTAATTGTCAGGCAAATATCTGTATTATGTTGATTTCAAAGTTTTATATGTCTGCATGGTACCTGTTAAGCTATTTTGTCATTAGTTCAGGAAATGAACAATTCAAGTTCCAGCTTGTAGTGGTTTTGGTCACTGTGTAATAGGTGGTTCATCTTGCTCCGTGTGTCTAGACAAGACAACATTTCATAAGTTCATCAACTTGCAGAATTAATGTAATTTGCAAAACAATAAAGCCAGTGTGGGCTTATCCCAGCTGACACACATTCAGGCAGATTATTACAGAATGGATTGCAACATACTATGAGGTATGTAAGAGTGCAATATTTAATTCAGCATTATTTAGTCTGAAGCCTTAGAGTGAGATAATGGAGCCCTGCTCTATTGGAAGAACCTTGAAAGACGATAACTGTCACAAGACAATCTACACCAATGGAAAGTACCAAAAAAAATCACGCAATAAATTCATACGAATAAAAAAAATTGAATTTTGCGAGAGTTCAAGGCGATACAAGTATAGATATGGACACAAAAGACAGTTTTAAATTAATGATTGTTTGGTGTTTTTTTTAATTATTTTTTTTTTACCACAACTGATTCTAAACATTTGAGGAACTGAAATTAAGTCACAGATGACGAAAACAGAATCACATTAAATTACTATAAAAATGAAAGACTCATGGACACATGATCAGTAAATCAGATGTTTGTAGCAGGATTGACTGAAATGTTTTTTATTCAATCGCATACATGGTTGGCTTGAGATCAAACATCCTAAATCACAGGATAAAATAAAATGGGTGAAATGTTTATATTGCAAAACTGAAACCAAGTTCAGTAAAATTAACAAAAATATAAATATTACAGGGATTTTTCTGTTTTAAAAATCAGTCAACCTGTATGGAAGCCTATCTATTATCATCTTCACTCCTCCATTGAAAAGTAATATAATACTCTTTTGATAACTAAACAATTTCCAGCAAAGCATCACACTGACCATCTGCTACCGAAGGATTTTTGTAGCCCTAACCTTATTACTTAATCTTAAAGCAGATTTAACTTCACGTCAGCATCAATAGTCTCAACCGGTTCAGTCTTCTGTTCAGAATCACCCCTTAAACCCCTACTAAACAATCTGTCTATCTGTCCAAGCCTCCAGTACGGCCAAAGGAGCACGACCTCTTCATCTGGGCCTACATCCCACCACACCTGTACAACACTACAGCCTGCTGGACACATACTGAAACTGTAGGTGATCTTTATGGGTAGAGAAGCAACGGTATTTCCCCTCTTAGAGGAAATCTCCAGATGTTTAAAGCCATGGGAAAATGTCCACCGCTACTGTTGTTAACATCCCACAAACGCCCAGCCTGGGATCTTTTTTTTTGGTGTAGCTCTACACACAAATGGAACACTGTCCATGTAAGTCCATGCGCTGCTGCTGGAGGGAAAGCTGTAGTACACATGGATTGAGCATCGCAGCAGTAACGAAGGTGAACTCAGGAGGTATCGGAGGGAACATGCTCGAAGCCTTCGCTCTCTCTCACGAGCGCCCTCTCCAGGATGACTCGGCCCTCCTTGTAGCGTTGACTTTCCTCAGTGGCGAACTCGTACATCCAGCCCAGTTTACTGTTGCAGTTCTTGCAGCTGACGTCCCGCACCATGTGTCTTCCTGTCAGCATGACTCTGTCCTGCACCTCGCTGTGCTGCAGATTCACAACCTGCAGGGCAGCAAAAACACATATGTCAGTTTAATAGTACAGAGGATTGCTTTTTAATTCCTGCAAATTTAAGTGAAAATGCTGAAAAAAAACCCAAACACTTCACAGTTTGATTGGTGTGGAACAGATGTAGATGCAAAATGAAGTGAGCCTAAGATAACCTTAAAAAAAAAAAAAAAAAGACATACAATCTTTTTTCCCCCCCCTCATTATCTGAAATTAAATCAGACTAAACTTTTCCTGTTTTAGGTCAGTTGGGATTACCAAAATTATTTATATTTGCTAAATGCCTGAATAATGAGAGTGTGAATTTTTTTATTACTTTCTTCAATCATGTCTTTATCAATCATGTCATATTTAAGAAGCTGGAATCATCCAGTATTTGGCAGTTTTGTTTGAAACTGCTCCATGCAATCCTTTAATGATATCCATAATAATCTCTTGATGCTATTTGTATTGTTTTGGGGAATAAGGACTAATTATCTTTATGGAGCTTCGCGTTAGTTCAGACAGGCACGGAGTCAGACGGTCACATGGCCCCTCCTGTCCAATCGTCATCACTAAAGTCCAGCCCACCCACTTAGCGTGCTTTATAACTGAGGCAGCGTTCATTCATTCTGCCCGCTTCACGCTCACCACATCGCTGCTACTCCAGCCTCTGCAGATCGACAAATCTCCTCCTCCTCCCCAACCACCACCTTTTAGAAACAGTTCAATCTCATATAACCCCGGTGTTTCCCATATCGTGGGATTGTAGGTTGCAGATGGTTCATTATTGTACCTTGAACTATGTAATCTAGATTCTGTTAGTGAAGACTATTTAGTTGGTCTCCTGTTCTCGTGTTCATACGATATTCAAAAAATTGTGAATTGTAAATTCATGGCTCTGTGGGGATTTGTGATCTCAGGGATTATCTGTGTCATGCTTGTGCAGATCGTTCCAGAGCATCACGAGCAGAGTCACCGCCAAACTAAATGTATGTGATCTCAAATAAATGGTTAAATCTGACAAAGTGTCCTGTCTGAACCTATAATGTTTAAAAATGATGAAGGGCTACATGTGGCCTGCAAACATGTTTAGGTAGGGGACACATGCCAAAGCAACATCCACATTATTGCAGGACACAAGGTTTACCAGCCAAACAGCGGCATCACACTGCCTTTGCAATTTCAAGAACAGACTGTTCACACTGCCTCATAATATATCACACCCTCTGACAGGTGCTGTTGACTGACTGTGGTCCACGGTGTGAATAAAGTAATGTTCAGGTACCTTGTTGAACAGGAAAGCTCGGCCGGTGGCTCCGGTGAAGCGTGTGGAGATGAGTTCAGCCCGGTTGGTCAGGATGGTGTCACAGTTGGCACAAGAGAAGAGGCGAGTCCCACCAATGTGATCCAGGAAGATGCGTCCCATTTTGTCTACCGCTCGGTCAGCAGAGCCTTCAGTAAAGAAAGCAGCCCTGTTAGACACTGACTCTCAATGCTCTCTCTCACACAATGCTTGGCTGACATATGCCGAGGCTGCATTTTGCTCCCCAGTCTCTGTCTGTTATAGTCTATCTATGGTATCTCTGGTCTGAGAGTTGCATGCTGTGGATCTGTGGTTATCGACTTTTTTTTTCCTCCACACTGTCCACACCAGGGTGCTGCTGAAGGATTAAATGCTGGGTTTCTCTATAATACTACAAAGTCTTGACCTTCCTATGTAGCATGCCCTGAGACAACTTATATTGTGTTTTGGCACCATATAAATAAAATTAATCTGAACTGAATACACTTGATGATGTTTTGTTTTGTGCAAATCAACGTGCTGGTCTGACTTATGGATCAGAGGGATTTTTTGCTAGATTTGCCAAGAAAATTGCCACGTCCATTTTGTACATACTGAAGAAGTAAGTGGGAATTTTTACGACAGTCGGATGTCTGAAATTCTAAGAGTCCCCTGAAGGCATCACCAGGCCTGGCTTGTCAATAAGGAGGTTTAGGAAACACACGGAGCGAGCTGTGCTTCAGCTACCACATCAGAAATTACTTAAGCTGCAGATGATTTTACAGAAGGAAATTAAAAATGAAAATAAAAATCAACGCTATGCTTCACTAGAAACCTTGTCAAAGTCAGACAAACAACCGCTAACTAACGTCACCGTTAAAAGGCCAAACTGGCGTTAAATCGACACCACATTTCTCACCTCGTCACGTTGGCTCAAACACAGGAACTTTCAATAAAGTGTTTTTCTCCACCAAACGTTGTCGTTCGTCTTTGTTGTCGTAGAACAAATGTGCACACAGAGCTGTGGATGCAGATATGGCGTTTTTTTTATTTTATAAAGTGGCAAGAATCAGAACGACATCTCCCACTCAGGACTTTCAAAATAAATACAAACGATAAATATATTCAACACTGGCACTGAGACAACTGCATTTTGAATAGTAACAACCAAATAACATTAAATAATTAATTTATTGTGATCATATTTAAAATCTTGAACCACCTCCTCTGTATCTATAACCGGCCGCGCAAAGTCTGGGCTTTTATTTTGAAAACCACGTCCCCGCAGTGTTTCCGTGTATGTGAGGTCGCTTGATGCAACTCCAGTTATCCGCACTGGGGAGCAGCAGAGATCCAAAACAATTAAAAGTCCCATTTTCATTTTGTGGTAGTGGTTGTTAGAAACTTGGAGGCGTAAAGGAAAAGATGTTCAGATATGAAGACGTTTACTTGTGCCATTCCTCCAGCCCTTCCACTGCTACATGACCTCCTAGCTTTACAAACCAGTGAGTCTGAACTGCTCCAGGCCACCAGGAACCAACACTGCCCACTCTCCTGTTCCCAGGTGGGTCAGTCAGGATGAGCAGTCTCTCAGTCTACCAGCTTTATGCACTTTCTAGATCTGCTACTACTAACTCTGAAATCTCTCAGCCTTGAGCAAAGCTCATCAAATGTTCTTCTGCTGGCTGCAAGAGTGAACCCAAGAGTCTTTGTACATTCCTGGCATCTGGGGAACTGAAGAACCAAAGGATTATTTTCATTACTGATGATGATTGCAATGTCATCACAACACAGGAAAATCCCTAGTGTTGGCATGTTGTGCGGCTAGTGTGGCTAATGGTACCATTAGCGTTGATCATGTGCCCACAGATCGGAGCTCTATGGAAAGTAACTGCTAGGGGACATTCAGAATGGTTGAAACTTTGAGAGCAATTTAAAACCAAAAAACAAGGACTTTGTGTGGGTTGCTGTGTTTTTGTGTTGCCTGCTGTGCCTCACTGCAACCAAACTTAGCATGTTTACTGTGCTCCCTCTCACATATAATATATTTTGATACAGCTGAATTCCCAGTGGGCTGCAGGGTGGTGCGGTGGTTAGCACCATTGCCTCGCAGCAAGAAGGTCACCGTTCGCATCCCGGTGAGGACATTGGGATCTTTCTGTGTGGAGTTTGCATGTTCTCCCGATGCAGCGTCAGTCCAAAAACATGTTGAGGTTAATTGGTGATTCTAAATTGTCCGTAGGTGTGAATGTGAGTGTGCTTGGTTGTCTGTCTCTAAATGTGGCCCTGCGATGGACTGGTGACCTGTCCAGGGTGTCCCCTGCCTTCGCCCTGAGTCAGCTGGGATAGGCTCCAGCCCCCCCGCGACCCTAGTGAGGATTGAGTGGTGTATAGATAATGGATGGATTCCCAGTAAAGCTGTTCTCATTTACATATTTTTGTGTTTCTGTTGTTAGACAACGGAGTGAGTATGCAATGCTGACGTGAAACACATTCCTCTAAGACTCACTTTAGAGCCATTTCCAAACTGCTGCTCTGCAAACTAAACTACTCATAAACATGAGTTAATAACAGTGCTGTGGATTCTGTGATATTTCCATCAAAAAAGGTCACTCAAAGAAAAAAAAAACTGAAATTCCTGGTCTCACACACATCCATGTATATTTGGACTGCGATTTTATTCGCTAAACATATAGTGTGTTTTAGATGTTAAGCTATGTAGCTGTAATCATCACAAAGTGCAGTAAATAATTTTATATTTGCCTTTGAAATTTAGTGAAGTATAAATATAAAGTTGGATAAAATCTAAATAAGGTATCTCAACACTGTATAGGATTGAATGTACTTAGTTATATCCCATCACTGAATTTTAAAGAGTCTTGGGCATGTCCTTTGTCAGCTGCCATCAACCTTTTTTAATGCTACAAAGTGCATGTTGTTTACTAGTTATCAACAATTAAAATCCAATTTAGCATTGATCCAGGTGACGCTGTCTGGGGTGTTACCCAGCCAAGAGAACGTTGCTTATCATTGTGTAATATAAAAGATCCTGCAGTCACATAACAGGCTAACCTTTCAACCAAGATGAACAAAACCAAGATAGTTGGATTTGCCAGATAATGTGGCTGACATTTGTTGAACGATGAATGGAAAAGACAGGTGTAACAGTCCAACATACTTCACTGCAAGCTCTTTTTGTTTCAAACCCACACTCTGTCTGGCTCCACCTTCACCAGCTCAGTAAGCATGTTATTTTCCAAGGCATTTCACATGTCTTCACCAGATGTAGAAAATCAAACAAACAAACAAAAAAACTCAGAAACCTCCTTCCCTAAGTTACCAAAGCAGTTTCCCAGCATACCACACAAGAGGTCTCACTCTTCTAGGATGACTGACTGCCATCTGGTTTCAAATCACAATTGTGTTTTCTGAGCTGCCTGGAAAAGCATTAATCAGTAAGGTCCATCTGGTTGTCTTTTGCTCTACTTGGCATCATATGTGAATTCCTGTTACCCCTTGTAGCCCCTCCTTTGTTTTTCCACTTAACTCAACTGAGTCTTAAGATATTTTATTGTCATTTTTGTGGAAAATAACCAACCACTTCCATTTTTTTCTTTTACAAATACCCCAAAGTGCTAACAAATGATTTCAAAACTGGAAAAAAGACACTTTAACCATGAAACTTAGTTCCACCTCCTCTTTGCATAAAAGTAATCTTTAAATGGGACATTTATTTCATCCTCCTCTGTCCATGAGGTAATTGGCTGGAGGCTACATTACCTGCTATAAGCAAAACATACCAGAATCACTTACAGAACTTTTAGCAGTGTAGTTGCACTGTATGCAATGTAGGCAGATAAAGAAGAAAAATGTATGGAAGTATAGATGGTATTTCTGGCTTTGTTGCATTGATTTTAGTCTCCAATAGTTAGATTATTAAATATATTTCTGCTAAAGGGGGTTAATGTTTATCATGTTATAATGTTTATAATGTTATTTCTTGAAACCAATCACAGTCATCTTGGATGGTGTTATGCCAAGGATGCAAATAAGTGACGGGGGCATTGCTTTGGTGGAACATTTGCAGGGAGGGGAGCACTGTCACATGTCAAATAACAGCCAATCATATATATAGATCTACCCTAATGAGGCATTTTATTTGTTCTTTGAAAGAAATCCCCCAAAACATGTGTAACTGCTGCCGACCCAGAATAGGCGGAGGAAAATGGATAGATAGAAATGTAACATTTGATTTTTATTTAATACATCATATCGTTCTAGTGTATTTATAATACATGAATTTGCAATTCCCAACGTAGAGACAAAAACAAAATTAAACTGAAAAATTTAGTGCGAGAAAGAAGGAAGCTGGTGCTTCAATACCAGGTAGGCAGATTAGTTTTTAACTGGCTGTACATATCATGTGTTTTAAGTATAACTACAGGACAGCTTGGTGAACCCAGCTAAGTCTGTTTAAAGATTAGCACCGATCGGGGAGATAATATCATGTTTCAGGTAGGGGGTCATGCAGAGGTGCAGTCCTTGAGTGACGATAACAGACTGTAAAGGCGGTACAACCTTCTATCAGGATTACAGTAATCATGATTGGAGTTCACTGTGGTCATAATTCAGAGCATTCAGAATCTGCTGTCAGCTTTGATAATGTCTGTAATTATTGGACATAAGTAGTAAAAAATCAGGTAAACTGATTATGGCCTACCGTACCTCTCTAATCAGCAGTGAGATAAGAGATCGTCAAGGTTTATAACACTTGTGCATTTCTGTTACGTAAAATATAAAAGGACCAATTTACCTTACTGCATTGTAGTGATGTAGTTTGTTAAGGTGTTTTCTACTGTTACTAACACATTAAATGGGCTTTCATGAAAATCAAACCACTAGAAGGCTGAACATCACACAACATTCCACAGAAAAATGGATTTTACAGTCTTATTAAGGTTGTACCCAAAACTTTCATCTTGCCACTGGTGTCTCAAACAATAGTATAAAGGATAAAGTAAATCTATTTGATGCAAACTTAAGTTTAATTCTCTAGATTTACACAACACAGAATGATCTACTGTTTTATGTGAAGCAACCAAGGAGCATAGTTTGTGGGAAATGGATGATTTTCTCTCTAAAGATAGAGATGGTGCAAGCCCGTTGTAGTAATAACCAAGATAATCTTTTCCCCTTTGCCCCTGTTCTATTTTGCCTCATCACACCAACAGGAAAACAACCACTCACAGTTGAAGCATTACCCCACAAAGTGGTGTGATTCCTGACCTTATCTGCTGTACTTGAGGGCACAAGTCAAACACGCCAAACACATATTCTGAATATTAAGTTTTAAAGAAACAGCTCAACATTTTGGAAATGCATAGAGCATAAAGAGTGGAAATGGCTGGCCTTGCTCTGTCCACCCACAAAACAACCAGCAGTGATCTCTTGAGTGTCTTCGTGAGTGTGATAGGAATTCAACACATACTCCAAAAAGCCAGAAGCTCAAAAGCTTTGAAATGGATAGGCACAAAAGACAAACGGTTTCCGAAGCTGTATGTGTAAAAAGTGTCACAGCTCTTGTCAGTCAGATTCTAATCATTTGTTTAACTGCAGTTAACATCTCCACATTCAGGATGGCTATATGTTAAACTTAAAAAAACCAAACAAAATAAATGTAATTAAGAACACTAGGATTACAAATTTAGAAACGTACAAACTACAGGCTCAGTCGATTACGCAGTTCTGACACAAAACCCAGACTGAAGTTTCTACTTTTAAGGGACATGCAGATGTGCAGATAATTTTTTTAAACAGATAAAGAGCATAACTATATATCTTGGTAAACGAGACCTTAGCCTCGTATCTTATCTAAGTGTACAGCAGATAATGAATTGCTCTTTTAACAAAGAAATGCTAAAGAGAAATGCTAAAGCTACCCTATTTTTGCAACTGTCTTCACGGTCCAGTGAAATATATTATAGTGTAACTGTAGATCTGTAGCTGATAAATACAACATGTTACTTAGTATTTATGGTTTGGTTAATGTTTTTATTTATTATTACCCAACAAATGATGACAATTACAGTTAAAGTAAAAAAGTAAAGTAAAAACTCCCTGACAGCCTTGAAGTAGAATCACATTAATATCATTGTCAATCTGCCTGTGTTATTGTTTTAATATAAAACTTTACAGCGGTGGCCTTGAAACAAATAGACTAGTCCCTCCCCTCTGTACAGATTTATGATATGTATACTAGACAGGTATACCTGATGTTGACAGAGAAAGACGGCTGACTGCAGAAACGGCAGAGGGAAAGGAAAAAAGAGCTGTAAAAAAAAGGACAAAAATCAGAGAGAGGATGCTTCAGGAGCTGGTTCTGATCTCCCTGCTGGGTTTCTCATGGACAACAGGTCTCCACTTTTAATGTTGTTAAATCTCGTGCTCATGGCGCTCTTGTTACTGAAGATTTTTTTTTTTTTTTTTAAATATCTGCACTGAATGATTGTTTTTAAATTGCTCAAGAGAATATAAATAGCAAATATGATGTGTGAAAAGAGGCGATCTAATGGTTTTGTGTAAAATCTCATATTTACACCGTTGTGTATGTGCGAGCTAGAATTTGTTTCTATATGCCTTTGCTACTCCACAAATTCTTGATCTATATCTTAGCATGTCTTGTGCTGTTTATGTGTCTCCAATGAGATGTCAATTGGAATTATTTTGAGCAAAGGTGAGGAAGAATACTTATACAGGATAGTCATGCTTGTTCCTACATGTTCCACTCATTGTTTAATCTTTTTAATCTCTTTACACTTTTAGCAGCTGGACTGCCCTGTCCTCCGATGGTCCCCTCTCACCCGCCTCCGTCAACAGGTAATTCAGTTAGAGACTAGATTTGCATACAGTTTTTTCTTAATTATTTGGAATAAGTGGAGTACGATGGGGGTTTATGTATTTTGGATGAAACCTTCTTTTTCAGTTTTGAGGGTTTATTTAAAGTGAAGTAGGAGTTTACCATCTTTTACAGTTGATGCATCCTGAAAATCAACACAAACACACATTAATACTTCAGTAATAGTGATCCATATTGTATTTGTGTATCATTCCAAATAGGGTATTCTGCGCAGTGAATCCTTTGGATAGTTTTACTACCCTTTGCTGATAGAACAGTTTTGAGTCTGTGACTTTTATGCCATATTTTGGAATCGTCACTTTGACTAACTAAAGGATCTATACACGTCTTCCACCCTTGATTGCTTTTCACAATAATATCACATTTTCACTAAGACTGCCAGCTCTTTTATTTATCTACCCACATACAGTACAGTAATAGACCATTTCTGATTTGCAACCAATGAAACCCTTTTTTCTCTTTCTCTCAAGCTGCCAGTGTAAAGCCCTCAGATGTGGCGGTGCTTTCTTCCATTGGACTTACCATGCACAGGTGAGCACAGGTCAGCTTCAGCTACACGGTGAAATTTACATTCTAGAGTCTGAAATTCACACTGTGGTCTTCTTCCGCAGCACCGACCTGTCCAAAGTCACATCAAAACTCAGAGGTATGTATCTGTATTCTGCAAAGCTTTATCTGTTCATATGTTAAGTTCTTCAGTTAGTGCATGCTTAAGATGTTCAGGTTGCTCGCTCTTGTTTTTGATGCCTTCCAATGGCACTTAGTAGGAAAACTCCAATATGTTTATATATATTAGAATTAATAAATGTCTTTAATAAGAGCAATATAAAAAGGAACCAACTGCCTTGCTTCAAATTTCACTCTCTCTAGAATTGCTTTAAACTTCAAATACCCTTATCTAGTTATGTTAATATGAGCATCTTCTACACTACTGTGTGCTATCTTTACTACACTGATATTGGCTCTAAATGTTATCATGTGAAGTGATGAACCCCAATACACTCATCATACAGTGCACACCAGGCCTGCAGACTGTTATCTTAGTGAAAGCTGCTCATGAAATAACAAGTACAGCACATCACACAGACAGACTGTGCCGCCTACAGATAAAATACTGACTGACATAAAGCAGGAAGTTCACAGTTGTTGACTGAAATATCGTTTAACATTTAATTACCTCTGATTAAAATGTCCATCCTGGATTTGCAACCTTGTTAAAACTGTAACCTTCTAATGTTTTACCTAAAAATATGTTTCACTAGAATCTAGATATTTGTGTTTTTTTATTGCTGAATGTGTTTATTACTTGGACTGACTTTGTGGCATTATCTAATTAATTATTAAACATACAAGGTTGCCAGTGCTTGAAAGCTTTGATGATAAGAGCCGACAGTTATTTAATATGGATGACGGTTTAGAAAACACTGTTGTCGGGATTAAAATTCAACTTGTTATGGTTGGTGCAAAAAAAAACAAACAAAAAAAAAACACCAAGTGTAGAGTAAACAATAAATATACAGTAAAATAAAGTACTAGAATAAAATAACTGTAATAGTGCAAACAACTGTAATAGTGCAAAGAATCAAACTTGAATTTAAATAAGAACCATTGACCAGTAGTGTTATTTACAGGAATTTTGAGGGTGTTGATATATCGTTATTTACATTTATACAGATATTGAGGGGGCGGGGGTGTCTGTGGGGGTCCTGGGCATTGTTCATGAGGCCAGTGGCAGACGGAAAGAGACTGTTTTTGTGGTGTGAGGTTCTGGTCCTGATGGACTGAAGCCTCCTGCCAGAGGGGAGTGTTTGAAAAAGTTTGTGTCCAGGGTGGGAAGGGTCAGCCACTAACCTCAGAGTTCTGGAGGCATGAAGGTCCTGGAGAGAAGGCAGATTGCAGCCAATCACCTTCTCGGAAATAAGAAGATATTTAGAATTTGTGCTTTAAAACTAATCTGCAAATTCAAAGTATTTGCAGATTAGTTTTCGGTCATTGAACTACCTGTTTAAACTGTCTAAGCTCCATTATGTTCACCTACAAGTTAAACTTGTTCCTCTCCCTCCATCAGAGCTGATGACCATGTTCAACCCTGACCTGATCTCTAATCTTGCTGATGAAACAAATTTGTTCATCCCTCAGTTTCTCCAGCACAGGTACAGCACTCTCTGATATATGAGAAATATGCAACTAACTACCCGAGGATTTTATTTTATTTTTCCATCCATGTGACTTTCTCTTTGCAGCACACTGGTGGAGCAGGCAGAAGAAGTGTCTCTGTACCTAAACAACATCCAGGTAGGTGTTCTCAGGAACTGTCCAACCTCAAGGTTTATTTATTTCCGTTTCACTTCCATCTATATAATCACCTGACTTGAAACAAAAGTCTGAGGGGGTGTCTTGCAAAGAGCTGTATTATTTGGTATCAATTTTGAGGAATATATTATTTTATTGTTGAAAACTAAATATTTGCTAAACTGTATGTTTAAACAACAGCTGACCTGCTGTAAAAAAAAAAAAAAGCTTTAAGGTTCCAAATTATTGGAATTAGTTATTTAGAACTGCACTAATCTATTGTTCATAATTAGTAAGAAAATACAGACCAAATGGAAAGTCAGTTTGATATCACACGCCCACCAAATATGCAAAGTGTTATCAACAGCTTTAAAGTGATTGTTGTGATTTTTTCCCCCCAACAGGATATTGATGTAAATCGAGACTGGAAGCTGGTGCTTCTCTTTGTTCAGGTGGACCAGCTGTGGGCCTGTGAGCAGCAGCAGGTAACTAGTAAAAACCGTAGTATGGATGATAATGTCTTCATCATCATCATTACTGTTATTATTGTTGAGCTTAAAGTTGAGCTTAAGACCTCAATGCCAAGAGTCTAAGTCACTTGTTTTTCCATGTTTCCAAGACTAAGTTGCCTCAAACACTGAAGTCACAGAGTCTATGTTACCTGTGTCAGACTCTGTCTGAAACATCCTCAAAGTAGATCGTGTGTATCGTAAAGAAACCTTGATTTCAGGTTTGCAATTACAAGTGTTGCATTCTGTATGTTACTTCAGATATTTAGCATTTGTTGTCATTTGATTCAAAATGACCAACATTTTCTAAAAGGACCAGAAGAGTGAACATGGGGAAGTAATGTGATGCTACCTGTACAATGAAAATACATTGTACAGTTATTTTTTCCATTCCCTGCAGATGACTATTTTGTGAAGAAGTTCAGCAATTTTTGTCTTTACAGACAGTTAAGCAAATCATGCTAAGCTTACAAAAGTTGGCCAAGGTCCGTGCAGTGTCAGACTGTTGTGTTTGTGCTGCAGGTCTCAGCTGTTATCAGATCAGTCGTTGAAGAGGTGGATGATGCTCTGCAGCTGCTGCACACTCAGGTAGATTTCACATAATCTAATGTATTATCAGTCTTTTGTTACTATAGTATTACCACTCTTGACTATTTTTTTTCACTTCATTGTGTTGCAGCTGAAACGGACCATCGTCAGTGTTGCATTATGGGATGGAGAGCATGACACTATGCAGAGCAAGTAAGTTAGACTGTAAAATGACATTTTGTCCCCTGAAACATTCTACCTCTTCACTGGCTAAATAAAAAGACTCTCAGTTTGTGACATCCAAACAGATGCTTTCATGTGTTATAAAGTAAAATGAACTCAGATCTGTTTTTCTAAAGAGAGAACTAAGAATCAAGCATAATAAAGCAAAAAAAGAAGAGATGATGGGGCAGCATGACAGTACAGAATGACATTGTAATCGTGTTCACTCACAGAATGAATGTTCTGCTGTTAATCTCTTGACTCTGCTTTCCTTCAACACTCTTTTTGAGTTTGTCTTTTTTATTGTTTACTGTCAGAGTTTTTTCTTTAAACATAAAGATACATGTGAAACTTTAATGAGTAAATCTGTCTCACTAAATAGAATGTGTCCTGGTGTGGAGATAGAGAGTGAAGGAGAACTCAGGCTTATGAGGGCCATGCTGACTCAAGCTCTGCAGGTTTGTCCATAATTCATATCCACATATTGCTACTACGTTTTGACCTGTGGTGCTGGTGTATTTGATCGAGCCTGAAATCATGAATATTTGACCTCTTGAAGGAAAATGCTGATCTTGAACTCTTTTTCACTGAGCAGGAATCCTTGGATGAGCTTATGGTACAGAAGCGGTGGTACAGTGACAGAGACGACTTTGCTGTCACTCTGCAGGACAGCCCTTACATCAAACACCCATCATCTGTTACCGTGAGTTACATTCCACTGATACTATAACTCTACCAGTAATCCTATAGATCCCCTCTCTTGCAGCACTGGCATCTCCATGTCCGTATTAGTTCTGAGGAAATGAGAGCTGTGATTATTTTTCAGAATGGGCTTTTGAAATGTTTAAGATGTACACCATTCAGCCACAACATTAAAACCACTGACAGGTGAAGTGTATAACATCATTCATCTTGTCACAGTGCAATGTTCTGCTGACAAACCTTGGGTCCTTGCATTCATGTAAATGTTATTTTGACACGTATTACCCACCTAAATACTGAAGGCCAAGCACACCCAAGAGGTGCTGTGTCCATGGCCTGATGGCTCAGAGCTGTTCCAGAGGCATGAAGGGGACTTACCCAGCATGTTTGTCAGGTGGTTCAAATGTTACAGCTGATCTGTGTTTATTTGTGCAACAAGAAAGTATTACAAATGCAAAAATCTACTTTGTACATAAGAATGCGTCTTACTCACAGTAGTTGGGTCAACGTTTTGGAAATCCTGACTAGATCATCAATCCCCTTGGTTTCAGCTGTTTGTTAATTAAGGCACAGATCTTAATAACATTACCATGGCTCGTATTAATTCGAGGCTCACAGTATGCTATGGCAGTATTACAGTGAGCGAGCACATTTAAACTAAAGCAGCATGTTGGAATGTTTCTGTCATTCATTTTGTTAGCTACACCTGTGCGATTGGAGATTGGAGAGTTCAATCACCGGATGAAAAACACTGGGGGGAATACAGCAGATAGCACCTTAGGAGTCTCTGCTCAGTACACTGTAAGGTAGTTTGGAAGATGGCCGGTTGAAATGTTTTGAAAAAAATCCTATTCATCTATCTCTTCATGTTAGAAGCCAGAAAAATAATCAGGCCTTTTGCGATAAGCTTTTATTAAAAAGCAAAGAATTTAAATACACACTGTATAAATACATTGTTTAAAAAACACTAACTTTTCCTGATTACAACAGCTACCTTTCTGACTAATTAAAGTCAAAACCAGATTTTAACATTAAGAAAACATAAAAGACACAGTCAGCAGTACCCCTGCAGCCCAAACTAACAATGGGTTTAAAAATAAAACATAATCAGTCCAGTTCCACTGCTTCTGAACCAGGGTCTATTTTCTATTTATTACACCAGTGGTTCTCAACAGGGGGGCCACAGAGAGCTGCCGGGGGGCGGGGGGAGGAGGGAGAACCAAAATACAGAGAAAAATTATCCAACTAAACAAAAAGCCAATCTGTAGTGCTTCATTTGTATAAACCAACTGCCTAGCCTAGTAATAACAAATAAATAAGTTGATCAAAACGCAGTGTGGGGCAGTAACATGGCCGTACGCACCACTGAGGTCCCCATCGTCCAGAACTTGGTATTTTTTCTGAATGTATATATAAATAAAAGTAGTGAACTGCTTAGAATGAGTAACTGTGGTGCAATATCAAACACACAGCAAAACACACAGGAGGCTTTACAGTTTATCTTCTCTTTCAACAGGGTCGGAAGCCTCTCTCTGAGTCTGAAGTGTCACAGCACACTGATCAACTGATGCTGCAGATGTGGACAAACCTGGTGAGGCCTGAAGCAGTCAAAGTGAAATCCGCTTACTGCCCCTAACTTCTCTCTAAACCTCTTTCTTTCACACTCAGCTACTGTTGTCAGGAGAGCAAACATGAGAACAATGAGCTTTCTGTCTTTCAGCTGCAGCCCACACTTGACCACCATAAAACAGAAGACAATGAAAATATCATCACATTGCCATGTCCAACTGAGGTGAGTAAATATGTAAAACCCACACCCAGACAGTTAAATCCGCATGCCAGTCTGTCAATGGACATAATGTTCTATGTACCATGCTAATATTGTTCCTCCTCTCTTCGACTATCTGTGTCCCTTCCCAAGGACCGACCCTTCCTGAGGACGGAGGGAAACTCTCCTTCATATCACCACAGCAGCGATGCCTCTCCTTTCCTTCAGACAGTGAGTATTGTCTCCAGCCGGATCAGATGGTGGCTGTGGCAGCGCTGTACGCCTCCTTTCTAGTTCTGACTGTGCTCCATGTTTCTGTTCAGGATACAGGGACTGAGATGCCTTGTGAAGATTTCAGCCCCTCAGCCTCCATACCCACTTCAGGTAAAAGGGTTTATATGTATGGGCATTTATTAGGAAACAGGTTGGCTTTATATTGGCAAATAAATAAAATAATGATTAATGATATCAAATGAAACAGACAGACGTTGTTCATAATTTGTATTCATGTGTTGTTTTTCATGTCCATTAACACTTAGACACTAAGATTGCATTTGATAAATTTTTACAGTGTTAAATAAAGTAGCTTGTAACCTTCAAACTGCAGTTCACAGTACCCTAATCCTACTGTAGAGTACTTGAAGAGGTTTTATTGCCGTATTATTGTATTTATTATAACTGTGGATAAAGTATCATCACATATTGTCTCTGAAAGTCCTGCAGTGTTCTACTGAGGAATTTGACAGCCTTTATTATTTTCAATGATCAAGGCTTTCTTCTGTATTTTCTCAGTCCATGAACTCAGGCCTGGGGACATCAAAGTTGTGGCTGCTGTGGGAGATTCTTTGACGGTGAGTGATTTTGTTAATTTTGCAAATAATCAAATGATAATAATCCAAAACTTTTCCAGTGAGTTGGACTGAGTGGCATCTAGCGCTAAACTAAATAATCCTCACCTCATCTGCCCCGTCCAGCCATGTGGTAGAACCTAAGGTGGTTGCTAAAAATGCAAAAACTGAATTACTGAAAAAACTGAAAATGCTGTCATACCAGATGAAAAGATGGCAAAACAACATGGTGGGGTCTGTGGAGGAGGACCTCCTCCCTCTGTAGATATGAAGGTGTCACTCCAATTTAACAAATACAACAATTTTTTTTTTTTAATTTTTAGGCTATTATAAACTAATAGAAGCATGATTGTAAATATGCATCCATTTTTGCTAGTGGATCCCCCTAATTCCTGCACACTGGACCTTTAAATAGGCTGGTGTATTGTGATGCGTCCTGTCATGTAAAAAGGCACTGAGCTCAGTCTCTTTTCTCTTCCACATTTTCAAGAGGATCACCATTGATTGTTATAATACCTTCAATATCAACAGTTATTTACCCTCTGGTGCAAAGCAAAATGTGCATGGGTTGGAGGGTGTTACTATAATTTGTCAGATTTACTAACAGATAATCTATAGATTTTAAAACAGTGAAAGTACACTTAATTACATACCAGTTTTTAACAGTGCAAAGATCTCAGTACAGAAGTGGATATTTAGACGATGCATTATGTAACTTTATAAAGAGAGAATGAAAAGACTGAACAAAGTGCATCAGATATACTGATGTAAGTCATACACTGCTGCTCATAATGTTGCTGAAACACTGTTCTGTTCCATTTTTCAGGCAGGGAATGGGATTGCATCCAGCCAGAATAATATACTGGATGTCCTGCGTCAGTACAGAGGTTTATCTTGGAGGTCGGTTAAGACTCTTCAGCTTATCACATAATATTGCAGAATAATGTTAATGTCATGTGTTGACTGACATTTCTTTAACTAGAAAGTAATTTATATGTATGTTTGCAGTATTGGTGGAGAAGAAAACCTAACAACTGTCACCACTCTGCCCAGTAAGTCTTTTTAATGAATTGTGTATTGTTCACATAACATGGTGCTCTGGGTTGGGCATTGTCACTGAGCGCTTTCAAATCTTTCAATGTTATTGGTGCTTCTTTCTTATTACAGACATCTTGAAATATTTCAACCCCGACCTGACTGGGTATTCTCTTGGTACGGGCAGTCCACACACGCCTCAAGCTTTCCTCAACCAAGCTGTGGCAGGATCAAAAAGCAGGTGAGTCCTATTTGAGGCCTTCCCAGCACAGTTTGACTATTTTAAATCACAAATATCTGCCACTGTTATTAGAATTCAACAGGATTGACATCTGAAATGTAAATACATGCATCAACATTGCTAGCCATTATTGCCAGTTGGATTGTTGTCAGTTTTGTTCAATAAGTGATATGTTTTCTGTACAAGTCAAGTTGTCCTGTGATGAAATCCACTGCTTTTTGAAAACGAATCACTCTAAAAGTAATTGAATTTCAAATTTAGATGAAATGTCCCTTTAGCTATCTGGGAACTGACTTTACTTTTTAATTGGGATCATTTCCTGTCTCTGTGTTTTAAGAGAAGTACCATCTCAGTTGAAAGCCTTGGTGGCAAGGATGAAGAATGATTCTGTAAGTTTATAGATATTTATTCTTTACCAATCTTTTAAAATTTGCCAACTCTACCATATAAACAGCATTAAGCTGCCACTGGGAAAAACATACAGTTTAAATGTATCACTTGACTATGTTTTAAAAAATTTACATAAACTAGAACAAAGAAATCTCTCTAACACTGCTCACGTTCCCTTGTCTTCTTTTGTTTACAGAGGATCAACTTTGAATTAGATTGGAAGGTGATCACCATTTTTATTGGTGGAAATGACATCTGTGACCACTGCTACAATTCTGTGAGTACTAATATGGAGTAGTATTTTATAAGTCATTTTTGAAAGGGCCAAAAGGAGCATGAACCTGAAAATGTTTTCCTGTTTGTTTACAGCTGCTCTACTCTGTAGAAAATTATGTTCGGAATGTTCGTGAAAGCCTGGATTATCTTCAAAAAGAGGTAAACTCAACAGACATAATGCCAGGTTTTTAGATCTTTACAGCTGTGAATAAAAGTTTAAAGACTATGTATATCACGGCAGTCTTGAGTTTTCAAAGGCTCTTGTAACTCAAATTTCTGTAACGGAATCATTGAAACACATGAAACACACTTTGTCACAAAAGAAAACAATCATGCATTTTGGTTTCTTCATACATTTATTATAGATCTTCTGGACACACGACAAAATCTGTTGCGTCAAAAACATTCTATGTAATATAAATATTATATTTGGTTAAACGTACTTAGGCCATTTTCACCTTAGCTATGCACTTTGGTTGCTGTCTACAAGCTTCTGGTTGTACCTGAGACCACAGTATTGGTGCAATTCAACAAATTTTGGTGACTTTTTGACACTGACTTGTTTATTCAACACAGTCCACAGATTCTTGATGGAGTTTAAGTAAGAGATCAGTCTAAAACCTTTATTCTAGCCTGATTTATGCATTTCTTCATCATTTTTATGTGTGTTTGGGCTTATTGTCTTGTTGGAACATTCAACTACATCCAAGACCCAACCTTCTGACTGATGTGTTTAAGTTTTCATAAATAATGTGGACGTAATCCTCCTGTAGTTTTCCACTTCCTTTGTATGAAGCACCAGTTCCACTTGCAGCAAAACAGCCCCACAACATAATGTTACTATAACCTTGCTTAACAGTAGATATGGTGTGAAGGCCTCACCATTTTCCCCCAAGTATATTTCTGGTTATTGAGGCCAATTAGCTTGTTTTTTGTTTTATCTGACCACAGAGCTTTTCTCCAGAAGGCATTTTTGTCCATCGGTAGCAAACTTCAGTCAAACTTTAAGGTTCTCTTCCAGAGGAAGAGCTTCCTTCTTGCAGAGCAGCCTCTCAGCCCATGGTGATGTAAAACACTGTAGACACTGGCACTTGTGTTCCAGCAGCTTTTAATTTATTTTGAAACTTGCTTTTTGGTGATTCTTGGTTGTCTCTTGATCATCCTGGCTAATTGCAGCAGGTGATCGCTTGTGTTTTTTTCCTGATTGTGGCATTGAAACAACAGGTCCATACACCTTATACTTACAAACAACTGTTTGCACGGATGATGGGATCCAAAGCTGCTTTGAAATGGCTCCAAGGGACTTTTCTGACTTGTTCAAGTCAGTGATTTGCTCCTTAAAACTTTACCACTGTAGCGTTTGTGGCTGGCTGTCTGATACTGTATTTAAGTTGGCTCAGAGGAGTTACCAGTCAATCGTAATTACTCATGAAACGTTAAGAGGTCACGCCACTAAGAAAAATTAAATAGCAACTTTCTACATCAGCAAAGCTGATAATTCCATATATGTATCGTATGTATACACATATATGTGTACACAGTGTATATTATGCCAAAGACACATGTTTTAATGATTGCATCATAGAAATTTAACTCAAAACTGCCATGATACACATGGTCTTTTCAAATGTATGTGAACTTTTGTTTACCACTGTATGTTGATCTTGTTTGTTAGCATTAACTAAGCTGATCTCTTTCAGGTGCCTCGGGCTCTCGTGAACTTAGTAGAGCCTCTCCATATATTACCACTAAGAGAAATGCACATGGACTCATCACTTAAATGCCCAACATGGCTGGTAGAGTGAGTATCACTTCATATTTTTACTGAGATATTGAAAATTTCATTTAGAAGTCTTGTGGTGTGGGTAAAGGGCTTTCATCCCATCTTGTGTGCTTCTATGATGACTTCCTCTAGTTATTATTTAATTGATTAACCCGAAATAGTGGTATAACACCTTGCTATCTCTCCTTTGCCAGTTATATGTGTCCTTGTGTTATCTTCCCGAAACCCAACTCTAATGCTCTTCAAATGTTGGAGAAGTTCAACAGAGACTATCAGGTAAGAAAAAAAACAAACTGGTTAGATTTAAAAAAAAAAAACAAAAAAAACTTTATGGTGACCCTCATTGATCATCATGACTTGTGTATCTTTCAGCGTGTACTGCGTGAGCTTGTGGAGACAGGCCAGTATGACACTCGCTCAGACTTCACTGTGGTCATCCAGCCTTTCTTCAGAGAAGTCTATGTCCCTCACCTGCCGGTGAGTAATAAAGCTCTGTCTTTCTCAGTTGGACATAGCAAAGACTTGAAGGGAGCCTGAGTCGGAGTTTATCTTATCCAATGTCTAAGCATGGATTTAGCACCAGAATTATTACAGTGTACATAGTGTAAACAAAAATCTTAATGTGATATCTGGTTTCATTTATTTTGTATGAAAAACTAAGTGTTTTGTAAAGAGACTGTGGTTCTGGGGAGCTGTGTGCCAGCCAGGCTACCAGACCGCCTCTATTTCCCATCCTTATGCTCAGCCAAACTAACCAGCTGCTGACTATAGCCTCATTTTTACTTTGCAAGCAAGAGAGTGGAGTCAATCTTCTCGTCCAACACTGAAAAAATGCAGTCAATTGTATTTCTTGTGGAAACAAATGATTGATGATCTTTTCTTGATCTTATATATCTTATATGTCACTGTGCTGATTGACAACAATTAGTAGGTTTAAGCTTAATGCATTTACCTTACCTTTTCCACAGGATGGCCGTCCTGATCGCTCCTTCTTTAGTGCTGACTGCTTCCATCTCAGTCAGAAGGCCCAGACCCTGATGGCTCGCGCTCTCTGGAACAACATGGTAAATGGCACACAGTATTTTGCACATACACTCCTGATCAAAATCTTAAGACCAGTTAAAAAATTGCATGAGTTTGCATTTTGCACTGTTGGATCTAACTAGAGCTTCAAAATGCAAAAAGAAGAAATGGGAACAAGAGACCAAAAGTTGTGAGCAGGCAATTTACTGAAAACAACAATTTAACTCAAATAGGATGTTCATCAGCTGATCAAAAGTTTACGACCACAGCTCAAAAAACCCAAAAACCTCCTAAAACAGAAATTAAAGAGTCAAAAACTGACTCAGTAATGAGTAGCTCCACCATTATTGTTGATCACTTCAAAAATTGAAGTGTTTCTAAAAGGCTAGTGGGAAAGTTGCTCCAAGTGGTGAAGATGGCTTTGCGAAGGGCATCCACTGTCTGGAACTGATGTCCATTTTTGTAAACTTCCCTTGCCATCCATCCCCAAATGTTCTCAGTTGGATTAAGACCAGGGGAACACACAGGATGGTCCAAAAGAGTGATGTTATTCTCCTGGAAAAAGGTCTTGGTCAGACGGGCATTGTGAATTGGAGCGTTGTCCTGCTGAAAAACCCAGTCATTACCACACAGACGACAGCCCTCAGTCATGAGGGATGCCCGCTGCAACATCTCCACATAGCCAGCTGCTGTTTGACACTCCTGCACAACCTGGAGCTCCACTGTTCCATTGAAGGAAAAAGCACCCCAGATCATGATGGCGCCCCCTCCACTGTGCCGTGTAGAAAACATCTCAGGTGGCATCTCCTGGTCATGCCAGTAATGTTGGAAGCCATCAGGACCATCAAGGTGAAATTTTTTTCTCATCAGAGAATAAAACTTTCTTCCACCTTTGAATGTCCAATGTTTGGTGCTCCCTTGCAAAGTCCAAACAGGCAGTTTTGTGGCATTGAAGAAGACTTGGCCTTTGAAGACGTTTCTTGTTTTTGAAGCCCTTCCTCGCAGATGCCATCTGATGGTTATTGGGCTGCAGTCAGCACCAGTAATGGCCTTAATTTGGAACGAGGATCCACCCATGTCTTGACAGACAGCCATTCGGATCCTCCGGCTCAGCGCCAGTGAGATTTTTTGGGGTCTACCACTTGATTTTTTGTTCCATAACCCTGAGGATCTTTTAGGAAATGCAAAATGACTGTCTTACTGTGTCCAACCTCAGCAGCGATGGCACGTTGTGAGAGGCTTTGTTTATGCAGCTCAACAACCCTACCACGTTCAAAGACGGTGAGCTTTTTTGTCTTTGCCATCAAGAGCTCTTCACAGTGTGATTACTTGACAGGAAATGACATGGAATCCAAACTTTTGGACAGATTTTGGCTTTTAAAGGCTGTGGTCTTAAACTTTTGATCAGCTGATGAACAGCCTATTTGAGCTAAATTGTTGTTGTCAATAAATTGCCTGCTCACAACCTTTGATCTCTTGTTCCCATTTCTTCTTTTTGCATTTTGAAGCTCTACTTAGAACCTTCCTAAGATCCAACAGTGCAAAATGCAAATTCATGCAATTTTTTAACTGGTTTTAAGATTTTGATCAGGAGTGTACGTAATTTTTGATGATTATATCGTCATGAACTACTTTTGGTAGGGGCAAAATCTTGCCGCACTGGAACTATCTGCCAGTAACAACAGTCACGCAACATTTAAATACGGACTATAAACATGATCAAGTGCTTGTGTTATGATCATCACATTTACTATAACCGTGTATTTCCTATTAAATAATGTGGAATGATGCTGCTTTTCTCATACAGCTGGAACCTTTGGGCAATAAGACTTACGAACAAGATTTTGCTGTATCTGCTCAACTGAAATGCCCGACCAAGGTAGGATAAATAGATGTTTAAGTAGAAAGTCAGTGCTATTAATGCTGCTGAATGTGTTTTGAAAATCCTGTGAGTAAACAAAATGATATGAAATCAATTCTCCAGGCTTCTGTCATTAAAAGTATAGACATTTGAATGTACAGATGTTCTAAATGTTGAAGCCACATAGTTTAAGATAATGTAAGCTCTTATCTTTCTCTATAGACTTCACCTTATTTTCGGACCTATAACAACAGCAATTACGAATATTCTGGTCCCTCCCCCACACCTCCACCGATTACAGTAAGTACCAAATAAACATATGACCATGTATCCTCTAAACAGGCTGCCTGTCTCTCATAGGGTTGCATAAGTGGTCAAGTGATAGAAATAAGATCAAAATTCATGTCTTAATTCAAGTCATACTATTTGAATACATTTTGCTATATTGATGCCTTTTTTTTTTTTTTTTTTAAAGCTAAACACTCCAAGTAGTAACTATATAGCTAAAGACAGCTGATGGTAAATATAACTAAGCTAAATTTTCAAATGTATTCATTGTATGTCCATGTTTCTTTTCCCTACAGAACTGGGGAAGTGATTTCTCCTGTGTGGACCTTGCTCCATCTGATGCTGTACCAACTTCAGGTCAGAACAAATTATTATCTCTGCATTGGTCAAAATGAGTGTCTGGGGGAATGTAGGCTAGAGACAGAGCGGGGAATGGCAGAAACATGCACTTGGAATGTCTATGGTCTGGCAGGTTGTGATGGAAAGAACAGAGTCTTTATGGGAGCTGTGGTGACTGTGGGCAGGTGAGTCCGGAGTTGTAGCTGTGGGTGAATTTCCTTGATTAGTGCTGAGATGCATAGGGGGAGAGAGGGAGAGGGACAGAGAGCGAGAGACAGACAGACAGAGAGAGAGGAGGGAGAAGAGAGGGAGACAGGCAAGGGCTGGGGCTGAGGCTGGGGGGTCATGACAATGAGAACCAATCTATAGATTGAAATCTGCAATCCAGAATCTTCTTAATTTCATATAAGCAAACACTTGTGCCACCAAGATGCTCTAATCACAAACAAAAGTTTTCCAAAATGCTGAAAACAGGAACTGGATCTCATTTATGTCTTTTATCTACAGTTCACAAGCTGAGACCAGCGGACATTAAGGTGGTGGCAGCATTAGGAGACTCTACAACAGTAAGTGTTATAACACCATGATCCTCAGTTTATTCAAATACAGGAAGGTAATGAATTAAACAAATGCAGCATTCAACAGTTAACACCAACTGTGATCCACATAAAATCATTTGTTTTGTGTTAATGACCTGTGTACTCACTAATCACTTTTTGGTATAAGCCTGATAGCTTACACTGGTGACGATCATCACCATTATGTTCTAGAAAAAAAGCTTTTCATGTAGAAATGATTTTGATCTGTCTCACAGTGTTCACTGACGTGGTAAACTTTCTCTATGGCTTTTCACCATGTCTTCCTTTCTTCACAGGCAGGCACTGGTGCTAAAGCAAAGAACATATTTGAACTCAGTAGAGATTATAAAGGAGTATCATGGAGGTATGACATGTCTTCAGTGTAAATGCGGTTTACATTTATTGTCACATTTTGTAAACCAGACTAATGTTTGTTGGCTTTCTCCTACAGCATTGGAGGGGATAGTTTGCTAGAGAAGGTCACAACGCTACCAAGTGAGTTTATGCCAATTGTTTGGCAAAACCTAATTTTTCATTGGACTTAACAGAAAATAACAACCTCTGCAAAATCATGCAGGGGGCGTGTATCTTCAGTTTACAGGAGAGAAATTTTGCTAGTATTATTTAAAGTTATTTAAAGCTGTTGACTGGATTTGGACTTTGGATTGTTGGGTTCTCTGTTTAAATTTGTAAGCTCTATACCTTACCATGTTAAGCGCTGTGAGATGGCACATGTTGTAAACTACACAGATAAAATTGACTTGACTTGACTTGACTGCCAGCTGAGATTGTCAGCCAATGGAAGGCTTATACCTACAACCTACATCCAGTGAGTCAGACTAAGTAAATAGTAACAACTTTATCCATTTCCATGTTGTTCTGGTATTGTCTGAACAACGTATCACACATTTAAACATATAGCTATGTAACAAAGGGAAGTCTCACATTTCAAAACCTCGCGGCAAGGACAGCCTAACTGCTTACTGTTGTTATTCCTCTGTTTCTAGGGTCTTTTGTTTCCCAGTTCCACATATGTGATCTGATTTGACACATAGTAAGACCCTAAAAAACATCTTCCCCAGCTTAGTTTTCACCACAGACTCTCTCTGGAGCCAGATGGAGTCAAAGTTAAAGTGCTTTAAACAAAAGTAATATATTATGTAACTGAGGAGCAAACTTGTCAGCTTTTCACCCTTACTGCTATCGTGATAGCAAACTGGTGCACTGCTTCTCACTTTGATCCATCACTGGATGCTTTTCTCCTTTTTCTCCATCTCCTCAGACATCCTAAAGAAGTTCAACCCCTCTCTAAAGGGGTTCTCCACAAGTCTGGGATTCGGGCAGAAGGGCTTCAACATGGCTGCAAGTGGAGCTCAGACCTCGTACGTACACATTCCTGTATTTCCTCCGCCTGAGTAAAACTTTTTTAACAACCCACTGGCATCTCTCTAACATTTACTCCTGTACTCATGGCATCACAGAGCAATTCCAGCACAAGCTGAAGCACTCATCAAGGCCATGAGAGAAAACACGGTGGGGCTTCTTCAAAACTCTGCCTCTGTCATAAGTCTCTGCATGCCTGAGTGTAACTTTATCTGTTTTTAATGCCCATGTTTGGTACCCATGCTACACAGGAGGTGGATTTTGAAAAAGACTGGAAGCTTGTGACAATATTCATAGGGGGAAATGATCTCTGCAATTACTGCTTAGACCAAGTAAGTTGCTTGAAATGCTTGCACTGTACCCAAATAACAATTCATTATGCAACTATATTATAATATATTATCTCTGTAGAGTCACCTGTCACCCAAGAACTACAGCCACCATCTTATGCTCACCTTGGACATGCTTTACAAAGAGGTGAGCTGTACTTCAAAAATAATTAAAAATTAATGCAAGATATGTCCATCTTCAGTTTAACTGAGTTCTAATTTTATGCCTGTCCCTCACCTTTCTCTGTATCTTTAGGTACCAAGGTTGTTGGTTAATGTTGTGGATATTTTGCAAATAGATCCGTTAAGAACAGTTAAGAGGAACACACTGGGCTGTTCACTACTGCAGAGGTTAGTTTTGTAGCTCTCTTTGCCATTCCTCTGTCTGTTTCATTATCGTCCTGCATGAATGTAGAACACAATGTTCATGTACATAAAGTCGACAAGAATTAAGCATAGCCACTGGTGTATTCCTTAAGAAAGAGCTCAGAGTGAGGGTTACAAATGCTGAACAAAGGAATGTTTGTTAGTACTGCAGATTAGATTGCTCAAACATGATGTTTGTGTTGATGTTTCATTTACAGGACCAGCTGTCCCTGTGTTATCAACCCATTTGATAACTCCCCAGAACTGGAGAACATGAAACTAATCAATCACAAGTACCAGGTAAAAGCAAATAACTTTGACTAAAAAGCATTTAAATATTTTCAAAAATGGGCTTCCCTTTGTCATCGCATCAATTTTCTTTCTTTTCTTTTTTTTTTTTTTTTATCACAGACTGAACTGCAATATCTTCTTTCTGGAGATCGCTATGAAGGAAAAGAAGACTTTGCTGTTGTGCTTCAGCCATTTTTACAAAATTCCTTTATCCCTCTAATCGGAGTAAGTTACTGAGACAAAGAAATGTAGTCAAATAATGGATAAGTCAAATACAAATGTACCCATGGTGGAAATTTGTATTATTTTTTTTTTCAAAAGGAAGGTGAGGCTGACGCAAGTTTCTTCTCCATCGACTGTTTCCACATCAGCGAGCGGGCTCATGCTGAGATGGCCATCGCCCTGTGGAACAACATGGTGAGCTCTGGGCAGAAATGAGCCGAACAAAGGGAAGCAGAGTGCCTAGTGTTTCTCTGCAACATTTGGTTAGAGTTTTACAGATTTTCTGTCTCTGTCCTAACAGTTGGAGCCTGTTGGCAGAAAGCAGGCCTACAACAACTTCACATATGACCGCTCCAAGATTCACTGTCCCTCTAAGGTATTTATGAAGGGTTTATTAGTCTGTAGAAAAATCTCATTATTCATCTTTTCTTATTATTATTTAATTATTCAAATCAAGAATAAAAATCACTTTAAAGTCCACTTTAATCTTGCTACTTATCACAGTTGGAGAGTTCACAGTAGATCATTTTTATTTCATTTGACTGGTTTTGATAGAAGAAAGTGAAATTATGAAATAAACCAGTGACGGGGGGAAATGGTGTAAAATTAACAAGGCATTTTGAAATTAAAACCTCTGAAATAAAGTTTCATTGTGAGGATGAATGACATATCATGGTGATATATTTTATCTATTTTTATTCATGGTTATCATATGATTATTTGATTTTGTAGATTTCAATCTACTTTATATCGAACACTTCCTCAGCCCATAATCACTGCATTGAAGTGTGTTTTTTTGTTGTTGTTTTTTTCATCTGCGGTATAATAATTTGTATGTGTATTTTACATATGATACAACAGATGATAATGTAGCTTCTAACGATTTTATCTGTCTTATAGACCAGTCCCTTCATCTTCACTACGATGAACAGTCTACTACCGAACGACATCCCTACTACCACCAACCCTGCTACTGCTACCACAACTCCAGTTACTACTACTACTACCATCAGTGACAGTTCTACATCAACAACCCTTGTGCCCCAGTGTCCGTCCTCCATATCTGTGTGGGTGCCAGTGGTTGTGGGAATTGCGAGTTTAGTGGTTGGCATCGTTGTTGCCTGGCTTATTATGCCCTTCACTCGACGCCAGACAATCAAAGAGAAGAAAGAAGGAACTGGTTTTGTTATCAGCAACATGAGACGGCTCTAACACAGCATCCTAACACAGCATTAAGCATGTCATTACAGTCCTGGCTACCTGGTTCACTATTTCCTGACAAAATCATCAGGGAGGAAGGAAACTTTGTTTCTCTTGAAGTCTGACTTTCTTCAGCAGCTGTTTTGTACTGCACAGAAATTTTACATTTCTTTTTGCTAATTTTATTTATTGATGAAATAAATATGATACAACATCTGAGTATTGCGGGCTGTAAGGTGGAGAAGTGGTTAGCACCGTTGCTTCGCAGCAAGAAGGTCGCAGGTTCGCGTCCCGGTGAGGACACCCGGGCTCTTTCTGCGTGGATTTTGCATGTTCTCCCCCTGCACTGTGGGTTCTCTCCGGGTTCTCCTCCCACAGTCCAAAAACATGTCAAGGTTAATTAGTGATTCTAAATTGTCCGTAGGTGTGAATGTGAGTGTGCTTGGTTGTCTGTCTCTACGTGCAGCCCTGTGAAAGACTGGTGACCTGTCCAGGATGTCCCCTGCCTTGTTCTCCAGAGGATGAACCCTCCTGACTTTATTGATCCCTAACTTTTCTTGTAGCTCCACCAGCAGGCTGACATTGGTGTTTTTGAATAAGACATCACAGGAACTATTGGATGCCTAGGCACCAGTTTGTTTTTTTTGTCATTCAGTTTTATTTATACTCCCCAAAGGATGTACTTGTAATAACTTTGGCAAACATTTAACTGGTTTTCTTGCAACACAATCAGGGAAAACAGTTCATATGTCCAGTGCTTAGGTAAATTACCTGCAAATCTATGGACAGCCTCAGCAGTGTGTATTAAACAGAACTATGATGGTAAACTACAAAGTATCTTTAAAAGATAAACATATTGTTGCTTTTTATCATTTCATGAGTGCAAATTACACTTCTCTACTGGAATTATCAGCACAGAACTACTGAGTGGTGATCTGTCTGGACCTATTGTGTCATCGGTTCATCGGTCACATGTTTCCCAACTTCCCCTCTGAGGTTGTGCAAAATGTAAATTGTGACAGAAGCATTTGATATCTACATTTATTGCTTGTCACTGTGGAAGAAATTCTTACAAGAAGTCACAGGAAATATGATTACTATCCTTCCACATACCTTTGCATATGATTAAATGGACATCCATCTGGTCTTGTTCTCTTTAATGCTCTTTCACATATTCAAAGCAGGATCCTATAAAAGCTGTGGACGAATTCAGATAGATAGATAGATAGATAGATAGATAGACAGATAGATAGATAGATAACGTTATTGTCATTCAAGCACACATGCATAAAAAACAGTGCACTAGAATGAAATTCTGTTGCATAATGCTCTCTACTACAGTTAAAAAAATACAATCATCTGCCATAAAAGGGCCTTTGAGTGCATACAATGAATTTCATATGACTGGTTAAAAAGAACATTTTTAATGATCGTTAAAATACAATTCTATTGTGGTGTGTCAACATAAAAGCATTCAATAAATAATCATACAGTAATTCTGAGTTAGTTCTCTTCTTTTTTTTTTGTTTTAAACAATATCTTTATTGAATTTTATATTACAAAATTATAAACAACATACTCATCACAAACAATGAGCAACAAAGTCCCCGCTCAAAATAGATAACCTAATCAATTAAAGCAAACGTCAGTTCTCTTCTTAGTGTTGTTTAAAAGATATTTTAAAAGGTGAGGAGCCAAGAACAAACTACTACTGTTTAGTCATTAGTCACAGACTATTTGTACAGTAGTATTGTATCAAATGAAAAAGCAGTGGAAATTTTCCAACTCTAAAAAAAAAAGAAAGATTAGTAAAACACCTGCTTTGACATCTGTAATGAGGAGTGGGATGCAGGTTTAACTGAGAAAATGTTTTTTTTCTTTACGCCATACAACACACAGGCTTAAACCTGCAGCCTACATATGCTGAGTCAGCCTGGTCAGGAGCAGAATCCACAGGAACGTCTCCAAAGCAGAGAGCTGCACACATTTGCGCATGTTGAACTACAGATCTGTTAACTTCAATAATTACTTGTAATTATGAATATAACATGGAGAAAGGATTGCTCTGGCTCGAATTGAATGACAAGTCACAATGTGTGCTTTTCTTCATAGATGAGTTGTCACACAGAGTCCGAATTTTATTGGTTTCTTCCAGCTGTTCTTAGGGACCTTATGACTAAAAGACAAAAGACAGATATTTTTGAAATTTTTCCTTTTAAGCTGTTTTTTCTTAATTTCCTGTCAGGGTGGCGCAGTTGGTAGCACTGTTGCTTCGCAGCAAGAAGGTTGCCGGTTTGCGTCCCGGTGGGGGCACCGGAATCTTTCTGCGTGGAGTCTCCATGTTCTCCCCGTGCAGCGTGGGTTCTCTCCGGGTTCTCCGGCTTCCTCCCACACAGTCCAAAAACATGTTGAGGTTAATTGGTGATTCTAAATTGTCCGTAGGTGTGAATATGAGTGTGCTTGGTTGTCTGTCTCTAATTGTGGCCCTGCGATAGGCTGGCGACCTGTCCAGGGTGTCCCCTGCCTTCGCCCTAAGTCGGCTGGATAGGCTCCAGCCCCCCCACGACCCTAATGAGGATTAAGCGGTGTATAGATAATGGATGGATAGTATAGTAACAATAATAAATATATGTGATAAATAGTGCAGACCAAAAGTTTGGACACCTTCTCATTCAGTGAGTTTTCTTTCTTTTCATGACTATTGACATTGTAGATTCACACTGAAGGAATCAAAATTATGAATTAACACATGTGGAAATATGTACTTAACAAAAAAGTGTAAAACAACTGAAGATACGCCTTATATTCTAGTTTCTTCAAAGTTGTCACCTTTTGCTGTGATTACTGCTTTGCACACACTCTGCATTCTCTTGATGAGCTTCAAGAAGTAGTCACCTGAAGTAGTTTTCACTTCACAGGTGTGCCCTGTCAGGTTTAATAAGTGGGATTTCTTGCCTTATAAATAGGGTTGGGACCATCAGTTGTGTTGTGCAGAAGTCAGGTGGACACACAGCTGATAGTCCTACTGAATAGACTGTTAGAATTTGTACTATGGCAAGAAAAAAGCAGCTAAGTAAAGAAAAACGAGTGGCCATCATTACTTTAACAAATGAAGGTCAGTCAGTCGGAAAAATTGGGAAAACTTTGAAAGTGTCCCGAAGCGCAGTCGCAAAAACCATCAAGCGCTACAAAGAAACTGGCTCACATGAGGACCGCCCCAGGAAAGGAAGACCAAGAGTCACCTCTGCTGCGGAGGATAAGTTCATCCGAGTGATCAGCCTCAGAAATCGCAGGTTAACAGCAACTCAGATTAGAGACCATGTCAATGCCACACAGAGTTCTAGCAGCAGACACATCTGTAGAACAAACTGTTAAGAGGAGACTGTGTGAATCAGGCCTTCATGGTAGAACAGCTGCTAGGAAACCACTGCTAAGGACAGGCAACAAGCAGAAGAGACTTGTTTGGGCTAAAGAACACAAGGAATGGACATTAGACCAGTGGAAATCTTTGCTTTGGTCTGATGAGTCCAAATTTGAGACCTTTGGTTCCAAC